AGGCGCATATTTAGTTCAATCTTTGTTCCTGAGTAAAATAAGATGACTTATTGGGGGAAGGACGTTATGAAGTCGACAGCTATTTCAACTTTAACATTAACTGAGATGGCCCCATAAAATCAAGAAGTGATGGCCATTTTTTATTAATGCGTGTAGACATTGCAGGGTCCTTAAAAAGTTTGAAATTGATTTTTAAAAAAATATAAGAAAATAAGATGTATTTTAGTAAAATCGTTATTTAGTACATTTATACTTACTCATCACGACTTTTAATATTTTTATTTAAATAAACAAATCTAGTTACAAAATCCTACGAGTTGCGAAATCCAGCTAATAGTTTTTATTTGATTTCGAAACTAAGCTAATAAAAATAAAACCTTAGCTTTTTTATTATAATATTGAAACCACTATTTTAAATTTTTTAAGAACGGAACAGAGACAAGCCCATATTACTTTCTGATTCCACTCATGCTCATTTTCTTTTTCGCTCCGAATTGGAGCACAGGGCTTTTATCATAACTTCCCATCCCACTCTATTTGTGACCAGATATTTTGTATCTCTCCTTGTCTTCGCTATTGTATTCAATTCGCTTGCAATCATCCTAAGCCAAGTATTATCAGGTCTTCCTCTTTTTCTATTGCCCATAGGGTTCCAATCAAAAAAATTTTTAACTTTAAATTCTTTAGGTTTAAGCAGAACTTGATCAATCCATTTCTATTTACGTTATTTTCAGATCTATCAGTTTCTGTTTCTCTTTTCTAAAGATTTCTGCGTTACAAATTTTATTGAACCCCTTGATACGTAATATTCTTCAAAAACAGTTGTTGAAGTTTGTTCATGTTATTTTTATTTCAGTGCCATTTCTCAAATCCATATAGTAGGACAGATTCAACATATTCCGATTCTACAGACCTAACATATTATCCAAAAGAACCCCGTAACCTACTTGACAGTACCCTACAATTTATCCGAATTAAAATTTTATGAATATCAGTGTGTTTGTAGTGGAGAATAATACAATATCACAACTAAAAATGACGACTGGATAAGACTTGTGAAGTGCATGCAGTGGTTCAACGAAACATGTGAACACTTCGGATGCATTTGACAAAACTGTGATGTAAGTATTTTCAAAAGTAATGGATTGAATATTTACATTAGATATATACATATTACATGCATGATAAAATTCGTTCTCGTTCGTATTCATGATAAAATTCGTTCTTAACAACTTATGTTTGACATGGTAAACAACTTACGTTTTCTTCATAACTTATGCTTTACATGGTTTAAATTTTTCATGGTAAACTGTGTAAAGTGTGTTATTGTCCCAATTTTAACTTCACTTTTCTTTTAATGTATCAAAGGGTTATCTCACCTTAATGGAGATATGTCTACATGTAAGTTTAGTTTCAAATTTTTTTGTCATATTTCATTCACAGTATTGCATTATTTTTTCCTCAAAATATGTGAAATGCATGCACGTGAGTTTAAACTACACATAAATATTTCTTGTCTCTCTATTTTTAATATGACTGTTTGGCTATTGGCTCGCTATAGTTATTTTTCTTAGACGTACTCTATATTGTAATATTCTAATAGTAAATTTAATTTATAAAAACACTCGAATGTAACCTTTAGTTTTTTTATGAAGAACTTATATTATAGGTTGGCAGCGAATTGAAATATTCTTTTACATTTGCATGACTGATTATTTTTAAACAAAACAAATCATGATATACAAATATCAAAATGTCAAATTCGTTTTTATTTATTTATTCGTTTTATTTACTATTTATTTATTTAAATAATATTTAATTGTTTAGTAATATAATTATTACAATGATGTTTGAATGATAAATCAGGATTTATATTTCAAAAGTTACAATAGTTAGAAAGTATGAGGAGCTTTTAAGTATTTTCACAGGATTTTATTTAATTGCTTCTTTTCTCTCCAGATCGAGTAGGCTTGTAGCGGCTGTAAATTTCAATGATATCGCTTATTTTAAATAATACAGCATTTATCTCTAACGTATTTTTTATCAGTATGAAACCATTTTTGATTGTTATTTGTTCAAGAATTATTTTTAAGTATTAAGTTACAGAAAATTACTGATAAAAAACATGTAAATAAATAATCCCAATAAACTGAAGTAGTAAGATATTATTTAAATTAAAAGCTTCACTCGCTTCAAAAATATACATATTGGAAATAACTGTCAGAATGTTTCAAGTGCCCAAGAAGAGGCACCCATTTTTTGGTTACATTTTTTACTGTTGATAATATTTTTAATCAAGTGATGTTTTTTATAAGAGTTGATTCCTTCAGCTTACATTTTCATACTTATAACCCACTGATGTATTCGTTAAACACATTTTAATAAAATTTAATATAATTTTAGTCAGTTTCTAAAATGTTCAGTAGTAGTGCATCATGCTGAAATTAATTTTATGCATTTTTTTTATCTTTTTATTGAACTAGAGATTATGGAAAAAAAGCAAGTAAAAATAAAAATCATAATGTAGAAAATTCTTAAAATGGTTGATTATATATTTTAATTATTTCGGCAAAGAGTTTTTTTCCTTTCTAATATCTTTAATACATTTGTTTCTCGAAACAGAAGTTTGTCTTTCTCAAGTAAACTAGGTTTTCATGGATTAGAAGAAAACACCCGTAAGATTGCTGATATTTTTTCTTTCATTTTCCAGGTGTGTAAAGATTTCATTTTTAGCACCGTCTGAGTAGTACAGCCTTTTACAAATGTAGGGTTAATAGACACTGCAGTCAATTGAAATAAAACTGTTCCTCTCCTGTCTATTAAAATTTCTCGTACCTGTTATTCAGATTTTAAAAAAAATATTATTTTGCTTGCTTTCATGTGGGCAGAATATAGGCATTTTATTCATTTTATAGATGTCTTAGTGCACTGAAACATTTTTTTAACGTTTAAAATTTTGATAAATATTTTTTTTTCAAAATTGAGCACATTAAACTCGACATTTTGCTGACAGTCCTCAAACGTATTATACTTAAATTAATCTATATAATAAAGAAGATATTTTGCTTTAATTAAAATTGAACAGAAAGGTACTGTGCAAAACTATTGTTGATTTTAAAATACAAAATTATTTTCGATTTTAAAATTATTTTAAAGTACAAAATTATTTTTCATTTCAAAATTATTTTAAAATACAAATTATTTTAAAATACTATTTATTATTTTCCTTTAGAATAAACTTTACAAATATTTAAATATTTCCTCGCTAGACATTTCAATTTATTTTACTTTATATGGTGTGATGAAAAAAATAAAAGTTAGAGAACTAGTCAAAAAGAATAAATTTCTCAATTTCTTTTGATCTGATTATTCTTTCGTGCATTTCGAAAAATATTCAGAGAAGTCATGTTTTATTTCTCTGTGTTGATTCAAGAAATTCAAACAAGACCTGACATTAATACAAAAGAATGGTAGACAGCACGCTGCGTCTCTGGGAGTTAAGTGAGCTTAAAGTTGTGAAGAGTCACGCATGTTTTTTCCTATTTCATTGGTTAGCATAGAAAGCATGGAAAAGAAAAATTTAAAAGCTTCCCGCATACGTTACGAAGTCAATCATAATAAGGCTTGAAATAATATAATAAATACGTTTCATTAACTGTTAGAGTTGAAAATTTTATTTTAGACTGGAAGAAATGTTTCCGTTTTAAATTTAAAATCATGGTTTTAAAAGTTGCCTAACCTTTTGTATTCATTATGGTAAAGGTTCCCAGTTTTTACAGGTAACGGAATCTTGAAAATTCAACCTTCTTCTAACGGAACTTCGAATTAATGAATGAAGTTCATTAACAATTAATAAAAGGAAAACTTTTAATAATTTTAAAAATATTAATGATAATTTTTTCATTGTTTTAAAATTAGATTTCTTGTTATGGAGTTGAAATTAGAGATCTGGAGTGGCATGTAGTATAATTCTAAATTTGTTCCCAATGCATGCATAAGATGAAAAAAGAAAAGATGAATTATGGTTTTTGTTGAAATGAAAACGAATAATGAACGTTGAATAAACAGTCAAAAATGTTGCGAAAGAAACAGACATGCATTTTCATTGTTTAATTTTGTTACTTTTTTCAATTGAAAGGCTTATTGGGAAATATTAATGCAATTTTTTATAAATACTAATTTGTTTTATAATCTATTTCATACAACTTGACAAAATATTATTTTCTTTGATAGTTTGCAAATATGATCTCATGAAAATTACCGAGATACTAAATGAATAATGGATTATTTTGAATGAATTTGAATAAAATAACAGATTTCAAAATTTAACTCCCGGAATCCTTGTGACCCTTCTAAAAAACCCATTGGTTCTGTAGAACTCTTTTTTGGAACCACTGCGTTACAGCCCCAAATTATAATGAAATACGATAATTCAGGTTTCATCGACACTCATGCTTATTGTTTTAAGCCCAATAGTGAGTATGGATGGATTATTCTAAATCTAAACTTTATTTAATATATATAGAAAATTTTACTCAATATAAATTAGCATTATCTATGAATTTTTTCTTTGTTATTTTAAATATGTTTGTTTTGTTTAAAAATGCTTCATAATAAATTAAAAAAAATTTTGCTTGAAATATTTTACCAGTAATCCTTCTTTTGGTACAAACGTAAGGTACTATTTATTTCACTATGGTACTAATGGTAATACAAGGTACTAATTATAAATTATTTTAATTTCTGTTCGTAAGTGATAAGTCAATTAGAAATGAAATATAGGAATAACTATTGTTATTACATTTCGGATCAAACTATTGAGTATGGTAATGTATTCATACTGCGCAATACTTTGCGGCAACTTTGCAAACAGGTCAAAGCTATTTCGAAATGGGTTTACATTACGATCAAGATTTGCTTACATAAACTCTTTTCACACGATTTCAGCGGCATTGCTATCTCCACTAACGAGTAAAGGAAGTCAGCTAAAATGCACTTACCGTGGACGGACAGTTTCACCGCTGTACTTAGGTCAGCACCTACACTGTTAGCTGCTTCACAAAGATAGTATCCTCTATCGTCCACGGAGAGATCTTTAATGCTTAGAGAACCATTCTCCAGGGTCTGAATGTGGTAGTTGCTGATGATGGACTTAAAATTGCGACTGGCTGAACTGTCCCCTAAGAGAGAATTGAAACTTAAAACATAATGGAGGAGGTACATTTTATCATTTTTAGCTTTTTGAATTTATAACCCGTAAGGAGTTTCATGCTCTTAGAGACTTTAAAATCATCTCTTTTCTAAGCAGAATTTTCTAAATTTACAATATAAATTCATTTGAATAATGAATAGATGATACAACAAATACAAACTTAATATAATGCAAAATAACTACACTAAGAGAAAATTTTTTTACAATTACCGTACTATATCGTAATGACACATAATGTAACAAAATCATAATCATTGTTAAAAAAAACAAAATTTAAGGTATTTAAACAATTTATTTAGTCGTTTTCCCGTTCATGTGGTAATATTTTAACAAAAATTTGAATTTTCAGAAATATAGTTCTTACTATCTTCAACTAATACAAATTATATATAAAACAAAATAAATGTAAGGAGAAATAAATCTGGTAAAATTACCGAACTGTATGGTAATGACATATTGAGTAAAAAAACATAATTCTGGTTAATAAAACGAAAGTATACATTATTTAAACCAATCACTTGTTGATTTTTTATCATGATAAAATTTTATCACATATTTTATAATTAATTATAATTAATTTTAATTAATTTTTAATATTTAATAATTTAATAAATATTTAATATTTTTAATATTTAATAATTCTAATTATTTCATAATTAATTTTAATTTTATAACAAATTTTATCACAGATTATTAAACCATAATTTAATGTAAATTTCCCCAAAATAATTACCAAAGCGATATGGTAAAAACTAATTACCGAGCTCTTTGGTTTTCCATAAAGCCAAAAACTCAGTAAATCGTAACATATACTGATAGTTTTACCATTAATTTTTCTCTCAGGATAATAAGACTGTTAGGAAAAAAAATTCCTTATGAAATAAATTCCTATTAATATACGATATGGAGTTTGAACTTGATCTTTTTAATTTTCTTAATAATAAAGCTACAATGTATAAAAGCAAAAATAATTTAATAAAACTTGGGAACTTTTTCCACACACTCAAAATCATTGAATGATGATTTTTTTTTACATTAAAAGTGTCATGTATTTTAATTTAGTGGCACTGTATACGCATTTTTTTTTAAATCCAAATCTTTAGAATCATTTTCATTCATCGAACATAATTGTGATTTAAAGTTAGTTGCGTTCGAAGTGAATGCCTTTGATTAACCATGCTTCGTATATCTGAGGTTATTTCCAAACAATTCTGTTTTCTAAAAGGAATTTTCAGGTGTTTTTTTTTTACAGTTTAAAATGTTATTTAAATTTCTGAGTAAAAATGGTAAAAAAAACAAGTTTATGATATCGTTAAAATGTATACTTAATGCAATGTAATATTAAAGTAAATTTAATTAAGTTTAATATTTGAACACATTTTATTAAAATTAAGTTATATCTAATTTGTGAATAATAAAAATGAAAAATATAGAGCTAAAAAAATTTTTTTTTAGTGTCCTGAGTTTTTTGATGATTAATCTAGTATGTTAAGTGACATGATAAATGTTTTATATTAAAAAAAACAAGAAATAATTTCCAGATGCTATAGAGGACACATGGTAAAAATGTAATGCGTATTTTTAATTACTTAACTAAAAAAATTAAAGAGAGAACAAAACAATTTTTTTATTACTTAAACATCAAATATTTTCATCTTATATGGGTGAATAAATTACATAAAAATGTTACCAGTGAGAAAGTTATACCCCTACCGGTTGTTCCAAATGTTACTGAAGATTTTGCAATGTAATTAAAAATATTAGCAAGAAATAATTCTGGACGGTTCACTGCAATCTGCCTAGGAAACCATTCTATATTCTAGAAAAGTTTCGAAATCAATTGCAGAGTTTGCCAATAGATGACTTTATTCTATATCAAAAGATTACAAAAGCAGTTTTTTCAACTATTTGAAACAGCAGTGTAGTGCGGTTAAAAGACGCATTGAACAGACATTCTTGCAAAGTATTGTTTATATTCAATGTTGTAATATTGTTTAAGTTAAAAAGCTTTAACAAGTATGTGTTGGTTGTAAACGTAAATGTTTCTAATTACAATCAACACTAAAACAAGTATCTCATAGAACAAACTCTTTTACTATCACAAAAGTACACAAAAAAATATATACATGTTGCCAACAAAAGAATAATGTAAGAAATAATATAATAAATAATCACTGCATCTGCGTTCACGCACTTGCGTCTGGAACAAAGTAGTAGAAAAAATTGCTTGATAAGTTTTTCTAGTATATGTTGACGTATATAAGTATATAATTTTATTGAAATTAATTAGCTGTTTTCTTAAATCGAGTGTAGCAAACCTTACTTTATCTACTTACGTATTTTTTTTAAATTAAAATAACCATTACGTGGACAGGAGACTTGTCTCAAAGTAATCACTACATTAATTAGACTAAAAATACTTTTAACTAAAAAATGGTTTATAAATATTTTGTTAAAATACAGCCAGTAACTTTTTTTAAACTTTCAAAATTATTTAAACTTTGAAAATTTCGAAAAAAATCATAGCTGTGAGACTGCATTAGCTCTGGATTGTGTTTAAAATTTTGAGGAGCAGCAACTTTTAAAAATTTTCTAGGAAATAGTGATCATGGATAAGTATACTTCCATCTCTCGTTTATATTGGAATTTGAAAACATTCATAGCTGTGAGGCTGCATTACTTCTGACATGTGTTTAAAATTTTATGCAGGTGTTCAGTGACTTTTCTCACGTTTAATAATTTTTTGGGACAAATATTGATGATGGATAAGCATACTTCCATCTCTCTTTTATATTAAACTTTGAAAACATTCATTGCTGTGACATTTCATTAATTTTGACATGTGTTTAAAGTTTTATTCTAGCAGATACGTTTAAAAAATTTCTAGAAGAAAAAACCTTGATCATGTATAACTGTACATCTATTTCTCCTTTCTTTTTATGTTTCTTTGCTTACTTTAGCTTTATAAGCTTCTTAAGAAAATCTCACTATAATTAAAATATATTTATATATATATACTTAAAGTTTTTAAAAAATTCATAACATTAAAATTTGAAAACATTAAAAAACTAACTATTATTAGAAAAGTTACAAATCCTGAGAGAGATAATAATTTATAATTATTAACTTTCATCGTTATAAATTATTGTTTTAGAAACAATAAAATATTTATAAATGTCACTGTTTATTCACTTTAAATGATGTTTAATTTTTAATGAATATGGTCTTAATCCACTTTCAGACAATTTATTTGAAACATTTGAATATTTTATTACAATATTTTACTAAGCCTCTTACAATTTTCCAGTATAATTGGAAAATTTCTGTATTTATATTTCATTAATATAGATCCTTCTCACTTACATTTGAAAGAAGCATTTTGCTATACATTATTGCAAACACCGAATTTATTTGACATAATTAAACTATAACAATATTTTCCTTAAATTCAGTTAATAATTTAATTCACTGCGTAATTCATTACTTGTTTTACACAGTATCTTAATTTTTTAAGTGAACTTTAAGCTATTTATAGTTACGTATTTAAAACATCTAAAGCTACATTCAAATAAAACATATCTGTGAAACTAAGCTTTAATTTTATTGAATATAAATTTTTGTATAAAAATGTTTCCTTCTATCACAAAATTATAAAGAGTTTACATTGTATGTATTGATCTTTGTAACGCATGTGTTTCATTTTTATATATTTCTTGAAATAGTTGAACTTTATTATTATTGTTATTTATTACCTATAACTATAATTTAAAATAATTTTCCTTATTGAATATATGTGTGTTTTTTACATCCGTTTTGTTATTTTAAAAATTTCCACCATCTTATAGAACGATAACATTTTGATAGAAAGTAATTAACCTTCAATTGTCTCATTTGATTTTGATAAAAATTTTGATTAATCAGAGTATCAAACTGGCATTAAACTGTACAATAAGTAATACAAATGTTTCAGTTATAAGAAAATTGCATTTTTTTTTGTTGCTTGTAATTCTGGTAGAGTCCTTTAAAATTTTATTTGTTTACTAGAAAAATACTTGCTGAATTTCCACCGAATTTTAAACTACTTTATATTACGCAATTGGCATTTTAAATTATATTTAAGGTAAGCTATTCTAACTGTTTTGAAAAAGTAATTTTTAATTTTGTAAATAAAAAATTTGAATTATCCTCTGAAATATGTTTTGAGCAATAGTGTCGGATAAAGCTTAATGATTGTATGTTAAATACAATTCGTACTTTAAACACACTTGCATGGATTTAGACTCTGCACTATAAAAATAATGTCTTTATTGCCATGTCTAATTTTGCATAAATTTTTACTATTATATTGTTTTTTGTACTTTAATATTTTAATCAATCAATTTTCAGTCAAAATCTTGGCTTTTTGATTTATTTTAATATGAAATCAGTGCAGTAAGTATTTGCTCCTTTCAGATTGAAGTTATTTTTTAATGAATAATTACTGAATTAATTCAAAATAATCAGACTAATAATCAGACTAATTATAAGAAATTGGACGTAACTTATTAATATGACTGCCAGTAATTTCTTATTTTAGGACCCATAAAATGGGGCTTTGACAAATGAAGAGAATGATGTATATGATGAAAAATAAGCCCTTAAATTTACCATAAGCTGGCATTTTCCTTATTTTATTTCCTAAAATAGCTGCCATCCAAATCCAAACTACTGTGGTGTGCACACAAAATAGGCAAAGAAAATTTTTCTCAACAAGTATTTGCAACTCCAGAAAAAAAAGAAACCGCTGAAATCCTCTCTTTTTTTTTTTGTACGTACAAGTAAGTTTACGAGTTAACACTACAGCTATTAGGTTTGGTTTATTATTACACCGATTTGGTTTTTCAGATCAGTTTCATCTTTATACCTACGTGTGACGTCAAGTGGTGGTGTCAAATCTGATTAGCTGCAGAATCGTGTCAGAAACAAATG